CTGAAGTTGCTTTTTAAAAGAAAGATCTTAGGGCAATACCCAGTTCTGCTTTCTTAGAATGGAACCCCCTTCTAACACACTCCCTTCAGGCAGTGCCCTGGTCCCTTCAATGCACACTCTCAAGAGGGGACAGGGTGTGAAAATGGATCCCCTTTGCCCATGTGAATGACCATTTTAGGTGAACCACACTTTCAACTGCAGAGCACACAACAGGCAGAGAAAATGCTCAGGGTGTTAAGCAGTCACTTACGTGTAACTGCGGGCAGCCATGGTCTTTAGATGGTGGGCTGAAGGACAGAGTCTGGGAATGAACATTTCTTAGGCATATGCTTGAGACAGTTTTTGGAGAGGCAATCCTGAGCCAGTTCTTTTGTGCACGTCTCGCCTCCTTGGTCACCAGCACCTCCAGGGAAAGGGCCACAGTGTTGTTATGGCTTCTGCAACACCTTGCTGGCCTCACAGTGGTCTTGGGACCCACTCATTCATTCACTCACTCGACATTCTTCTGAGTCCATACTTGTGCAAGCAGTTTTTGTTGCCGGGCACGGGCAAGCTGGCTCCCTTGTAGAGCTTGTATCCCGGGGGCAGAGGGCATATAAGCGCTGAGCAGGTCAGTATGTCTGAGCCCCTCTGAGGTGCTGACCAGGAGGCTAAGAGTTGGGGCCAGTGAGGCTGGCAGGCTGGGGGAAAGTTTACAATGGGAAGTCACAAGAGGACAGGGACCTACACAAACAGGGTCCTGCAGATTGCTGTGTAGGGAAGGTCCTAAGAGAGGAAGGTGGCCTCAGGGACCCCAGGAAGGAGACCAGGACAGATGGAGCAAAGTGTAAGGACATGGAGTGTGTTTTGGAATGGGGTTCTCAACAGAGCACCTGTGACATTCTGGGTGGAAAATGTTTTCTGGTGGTGGCGGTTCTGTGTAATATGGGCTGTTCAGCAGCATCCCCAGCCCCTGCCACTTGATCCAGTAACCATCCCTCCCAAGCTATGTCAACCAAAAATCTCTCCAGACACTGCCAAGCACCCTTCTGAGGGTGCAAAACGGCTCCCAGTCAAGAACCCTGGCTTAAGAGTAGACATGATGGTGTCTGTGGATGGGCTGGGAGTTCACAGGCGTTGGGAGCAGAGACCACTCCTGGAGAGGACTAGTTTTTTGATCTTGGTGGCACATGGGACTCTTGGAAGGACAGGTGTCCACCACCTCAGGTTCGGATTGTCCCCCAGCCCCTCTGGAGCTGGACAGACCAGTCATCTCTCATGTCGCCTGTGCCTCCAGGAATAAAGCTGGGAGGACCAACTCAGCCCCCAGCCACTGGCTGCTTCTGAGGATGCCGCGGGGCGAGCCTTTGCTCTCATCTGCATTTCAGTAAAAACGAAATCCAACAGCAGGCAGGTGGCAGTGGGGTGTGCTAAAAAGCCACAGTACGCTGCTCTTCGTGCTGCCATGACATCAAGAGTCACAAATCACATGTACACTGGGCACGTAAAACCAACCGGCCCAGAGGGAAGTTCAAGGCCAGCTCAGGAGTCGGAGACAATACTGCCAGAAGGGCCCTGACAGTGCCTCTGTTTTTCCTCAAAACACCCTACCCTATCCCTTGCAGCTGAAAGACTGGACTTCCAGAAGTTAAGTGTGACCGCAGAGTCTCAGGGACAGATTAGCTTAGTGGATGCTAGTGCTCTCATAATCTGTTTAGCGGACCGGGAACAGGGCCTCCAGGGACGGGAACACAGCTCGGGGAAACTTGGAGGAGGCAGCTGTGAGTGGGAAGGGAGTGGGTGATAGGGGGATAAATCCCTGAGCATGATGGGTAAGCACCCCAAAAGAGGAGGTGAGGAAACACACACTCAGCCAAGGTTGATCCTTGGCTTTTAGAAATTGTGTTGTTTTAAAAATTACTTTTGGGGTCAATCCCTAGTGTTAAGTTTTAAAGCACTTGGGCACGTTTGAGTATTCCACATTTGAAAAACACCGTTTTAATCTGTGAATCAATATGGGATGAGGGCTTTTGTTACTAAAAGTGGGGATAAAATAGCCCTGAAGCTGATTCTGTGGCCCAGTCAACAGGACGTGTGAGATATACCTATTTCTGGAGAAAAAGTCCTGAGATTTGGGCTGAATTCCTTCTGGAACACTCTGTTCTTAGGGATCATCCGTACTCAGACAATGTCCTCATCAGTTGCTGTGTGTCCCCTGTGGTTTGGGGATGCAAGAGTGCAGGCTCCACGCACGAGGGGCCAAACTGTCTTCCTCTTTGCTTTGTCCCCAGGGCCCGGCATGTCTCCTGACCTAAGCAGGTGCTTGATGAATACGGAACGAAGGGCCTGCTACTACTTCATCCCAGCCAGTGTTTGGTCTTTGAGTAAAAGCAGCTGTGAATGGAGAGCCATTCCCGAGACAGGCGAAAAGACGGAAGTGTTCTGCAGAACGTGTCCCGAGTCAGATGTTGTTAGATGAACACTTGATGAAAAATAACTGCGGTGCCACAAAGGGATGCAAAAGAGACCAAGCACACTAAGGAATGGTCATTATCTTTATTCATACACACTTGCTTCCGAACTACAAGTAATGTACCTAACAAAGCAAATCATGCAAACAAAGATTAGAGGTCATACAAATAGAGGAAAGCAATGCAGTAATTTACACATCTGTTTCACCTGCTATATAACCAAATGTTAACTGACAGTTTAATTACCTCCATGTTCTGTCCTTATGTGCTTATACAGAAGGAAAAACCTTATCGTCCACTGTTTGTCTCCATATAAATTTGGGGTCTTACATGATGTTTTTCAATAAATGCTTTAAACATATCATGGCTTCCAAAAAACAAAAACAGAAAACATGTAGGAAAACCAATTTCAAATGTTTCCGACCATCTATAAAAGATATCCTGAAAGATTGTAATAGTAAGGATAGGAGGTAAATTTTTAGAAAATCTGTACTCAAAATAGGAACCACCTTCATGTGTAATTTTGAATGGTTCACTGAACCCTCTCAAAAAAGAATGACATTCTTCCAGAGAGAGAGTATCAACAGGAACCTACAGACAACCACATGAAGAGATCCTCTAAAGTTAAGCAGAGGAGACAAAGACACAGTTTTATCAGAAAATGCAAAGCCACCTTTGTCTTACTTTAGGAAAAGAAAAGGTTCTTATAAAGTGAACTGAATACCTATTTTCTGAAAAGTAGGATTCTGTCTACTTACTTATGCAATAGCTACCAAAACAGAAGCTAGGAGGCATGTTTTCTGCTGCTTCTTATTTCTTGGGATGTTCAAGTAGTTCTGAATTGCCCAGTGGACAAAATCCTTATAGGGCATCTCTGAAATTTCACCAAATGTGACAGATCTGGGAGACAGGGTGAGGGGCTGAAAACAGCTGAGGAAGCATCCTTCTCTCACCAGAAGGTGGTTACAGAGCCTCACAGAGCAAGCAAAGGGTCCCAGAGACCCTGGGAGTGCCATCGGGAGCGGGGACGACACAGCTGTCTTTACTAGTTTGAAAATACCTGAGCCTCAGGCAGTTATCCCCGGTGTCTATCAGAAACAGGAAGAGCACCAGCCTGCCAAGTTCCCCTGGAGCTTGCAACCCTTCTCACGTGGACCCCACTCTTCCGGCTTGGCTAAGTCCTGCAGTGGGAATGCAGGTCAGGGACATCCTAGCTGGCCCAGGCTGAGTATGAAATTGTCATAGCTTCACTTTAAAAATTCATTTTAAAAGAATTATTAAAGTTCTCTATAAAAAGTACAAATAGCCCTAGTATGTTTTCTCTTGGAATTAACAAATTAATTTCTTCCTTTAGGATAAAAAAGTGTCTTTGGAACTTATGGGCTTTATTGTAGGGTCATTGTAAGGCCGTTTGATGTCTGTGATCTACGTGGTTGTTAACTGACAGCTGATCACAGGGGTCAGAGTCACGCACACTTTGAGCCCACCGAGTCCAGACTCGGCAGAACAGTTGGTGTCATTCCTGGATGTCTGCCTTCTTCCACATACAACTCAGGTAACCTTTTCTAATTTTCTGAAGTTTTCTAACAGCAGAAATATATAGTCTTACCTAGATTTGCTGCATTGGCTCAAATGGGACACGAAGGGAATGTTGACAGATCAGTATACTTCATAAAGTGTAGCCCAAGCAGCTCAAGAAAAAGGATGTAAAAGTATTTCCCAGCCCCCTTGGTCCAGATAATGTGTATGCTCCAATAACTGGGGCACCCCTCTCCTTCATCACCGTCCTGCCTGCCACTGTCCCTGTCCTCATCCTTTGGAGCCTTTGCCTTAGCGTCCATTTTACAAGTGGGTTGATCGGTGCTCAGGAGGGGCCTGGCCCAGCTGGGTTATAAAGTAACAAGAAACAGTGTGATGTGTACACAAGAAATCGATCACTTCATGAGACCAAAGTGAGAAAATGACTGTCAGGATGGTGTCACCTTTCGAAGGCTTTTAAAAACCTAACACTCTCACTTTTTCTCTTCAGCACTGAGGAAACAATTTCCAGAAAAAAAGCCTCCTACTTCCGCTCAGTGGAAGCAGGTGGGAAGGGCAGTGCTAGCTGTTTTTGTGACTTCTCTGTCCATCCCTGGCAGCCGTAACGCTCAGCCGGAAGTCAGAGCAAAGGGTGGAAGCAGCTGGCCCAGGCCCACTAGGTGGTCTGGCTGTGCCCAGACAACTGAGAGCCCTTTCGAGGAGGGGTGGAGCTTCTGGAAACAGGTGAGCATGCTGGTGGCACGGGGCCAGGGGTATTTGTCAAGGAGGTGTCCCTGGCCAAAAGCGCAATCTTGAGGAGCAGCAGTGACTTGGTCTGTACCAGTGCCCCAGATGGAAAGCCGTAGAGATGCTGCAGCTCACTGGCCCTTCTGCACAAGGGTCTTGGAAGTACTGTTCTCTAGCCCCAGCCAGTTGGGCCCCAACTTACTCTCCTTTGTCAGCACTTCAATGGGCAACTTTCTTGGGGTCTTCCAGCAAGTTCCTCTCATCTATGCCAAGGATTTTAAGTCACAGAACCAAACAACAGTCCTTGGCTAGGTCCCATTAATCTTGGTCTGTGACAATCTTTCAACCGATCAACTCAGGACAAGATCCAGAGAGCTCTGTGTACCCCCTTCCCCCAATTTTCCACCAAAATTCTGAATAAAAAGCCTCATGTATCCTTTGCAAAAAGGCAGGCAGCAATTCTGCAACTCAAATGAGGCCATGTGGATAAAAGAGAAGGAGAAGTAGTGAGGAGCAGTCACTTTGGTTCCTGGGGTCTCTCATCCACCTTTTGAATTACTTCCTGCCTGGAGGTGGGTACCCTATTATGCCGAGGGCTGCACCTCACAGCACACTCTGGCTCCTTCCATTCAGACTAAGCAATGGGTGACTTTGGACGCGATGCCAAAAGCAGGGCTGCCAGCTCACTGGCCTACAGCCACAGGAGTTCTGCTGCTGAGCACCAGCCACCTTCCAAGGGAAAATAACACAGAACAATTTAAATTGCCTTTTGGGTTTAAAGCCTGAAGGGTCCTGCAGAGACTCAGATGTGCTAGATTCTCGTCTACAGGGCCTGGCAATGCAGGCAGTGCTCAGGGTCAAGTGTTCTCCAGAGTCCCCAGGGACTGGACCCTTCAAGGTCCCCTCCTGATGCCAGCCTCCAACTCAGTTGCTCAAATCCAAAGAGTAGGCCTCTCCCTGCTGTTCCATTTCATGCAGGGCCCATGAAATAAGAAAATGGTATTGAACTTTTATCAGTCATTTCTTCAGATCACAGTTGTTAAAGATTATCCACATGAGTTAGTCTTTTGGCATTAACTGTCTTGGGCTGAACAGATTTTCAAAGCATTATCCTTTCTCTAAATTTAATAGAACAAGCTACACAGTGAACACATCCTCGGGCTCTGATTTTTACCATTAACCCCTCAACCCAACCCAGTTTGTTCTCTAGACTGTTGTCCCTGAGGCAGAGTGCTGGCCCCATGGTCAGGGTCCTTTCTTTGAAAAACAGTCACACATTCTTGAAAAACACAGACAGCTGAGGTGGAACATATTTCCTAGAGGAGCAGCAATCGTTTTAAGCTGTGTTTTGGCTGTTTAAAATAAGCAGCAGCTGGGCACACTGGAAAAATGGTCCACAACCTGTATTCCTTTGCAGGACTTCCTCATCTCATGGGGCTTGGCTGGGATTAGCCTTGTTGCTGCGTCACCTGGGGTGAGGGGGCTGACCCTTTTGTCTTCCAGGCTCTTTCTATAAACAAATTCTTTTCCCATTAGACAAAACAGAATGTCCTGACAAGGACATGTCCCCAGAATGTAAGCTGACCATCAGGACTTCAGGGGTCAGTGTGCAAGGACCCTTTTTGAGTACTGAAGTCTAGAGTCCAAAAAAAGATGACCAAAGAAATTGCTCTTTTCTGCTCTGGCCTGTTTCCTACTCCAAGTCTCCTTCCAATTAGGGATTTCCAGGCCTCTTATATCAAAGATCCAAGGTAAGTGCATTACATGAACTTCAGATAAACATCCAGAGAGTAAAAATGAGGAGAGCTTAGCTGGGAGATGATGCTTTTGGAGGAAACAACAGGTTTCTATAAGGACCAATAGCTTTTTTCATTCTGACTTCTTTTTTGTGCTGCAGAAAACTATCTCTTCTCAGGACAATGCATTGGGAGGATGTCTTGCCAAAGGTAAGCCCATCGCAGGATGGGGATGACCAATTCTAGCAAGAGCTAGAATGAAATGTGCAGCTTCCGAAAAGAGTGTGTTGGTGGCTACAGGGACTGACACATGGTTTGTCTCACAAAGTCTGTATCTGCTGGAACAATGGTGGGTCACTTTGGGGCAGCAAGACAGGCTGCACCCTTCTGGTGTGCCCAGATACACACAGCAAGAAGGGAATTGTTCCATCCACACTCCCTTCTAGTCCCCAACAATGACAAGCTGAAAGAACAAAACACACAGACACAGAAACACACACACACACACACACCCACCCTTCAGCCCAGGTGTGACAATGCCACATGTACACAAACACATCGGTCAAACTGGATTCGAACCCTTCCCACTGTCACAAAAAGGAAGAGGAACTCAAATGAAAGAGGATATTAAGAAGCTAAGAGAGTCTCATCTCAGAAATAATCCCCACAAACAAAACTTTGCAGGTGGAATCAAATATATATATGTGTGTGTGCGCGTGTGTGTGTATATATATACACACACACACACATATATATGTATACATATATATATATGTATCTCCTAATTAAACATGTAAAATAGCCATTCAGTTTTGAAGTTAGATCCACATTACAAAATTAATATATCTGATACAGTGCCAATGTGCAGGAGGAGGGGGAAAAGAAAGTACAGCAGCAAAGAATTAAACTAAAACTTAATTATAAAAGCAGATAAGAAACATAAAACTTCACAAATATAGCACAGTTGTATCTTATAAAATTAATACTCTATACTTGATACGATTATATCAATAATATAGATTTACTTATTATTATAAACATGCAAAATTCATTGCATGATGCATTTGCAAAACATATTAAAATCCTTCTAGCAAGAAAACATCTTTTTTCACCTGATAAATATCCAAGTGTCCTGTTCTACAGCTTCAGGTGTGTCATTCAACACAACTGGAAGTGGGAACCCAATCTGTATTATTTTTCATCCCTAAATGGATGTGAAGGGCTAGAGAAGGGAGGAAAATAAATCAATAGGTACTGATGCTAGAGTCAAAATGTTAAATTACTGTACAGCGTACTTTCATAAATGACACTGCAGCCTACTAAATAAATAAGTAAAAAAAAAAGGGGTGGGGTGTACACTTCAGCTTCTTAGGAAGGGCAACAACATAGGTACCAAAATATTCATGTGTGTGGGGGGGAGGTTGGCTAACAACACTCATGAATAGTGGCATGATTATTGATGGCACCCTGGATCGAAGAATAATCTCCCAGAGATTAAAATGGACATACATACACACTGGTTTATCCTTGATCTGAAATGATTTCACATGCTTATTCAGAAAAATCCTTAAGATGATTTGGCCTCTTTAAAAGAATGCAGGTATCAAGATAGTTATCAACCAGTAGGGCAAGAGATGATAGATTCACCCAACTCTCATTTGAAGTTTTCGTTTTTTTCTTTTTCTCTTTCTTTCACTGCTGGACTACAGTTGGATTATACTCTTTGGGAAAAGTGATTAGGTCCATTCTAGCCTTTCAGATCCTAGGATCTTTTTCCACTGAGGCAGAGAACAGAAGCAGTAGTTATCTTGAAGCCTTTCCTACCCCTAGGCCCTTTTTGCTCACTCTCTGGGCTCCTCATTCTTTCATTCCAAAGACATCTTGGGTGGAGATGTTTCCAGTCCATTGAGCTGGAACAGTTTCATTTAACATCTCTAGTTAGGGATCTTGATGGTGAAAATCCACAGATGGAAGATATGGAGAATATGTCAAATCGTACCAAAAAGGGGCAAGAGTCTGTTTGCTTTCTAGGAAGTGTTGACCTATAGCCAAGTGTGACTTCTACATAATTAAACTGGACACTGTACATGATGTCATCTTCCACTAAGACAATGTTCTTGGTTGTAAGAGAGAAGACCCTGAAAGTTGATCACCTGTGAACTAGAAATTTCAGGCCTCCATGTAGAACAAGACGCAGGCTGTGGCCTTCAAATTTTAGGGTTAAGGATAATTTCCCACTTCTGGGGTTGGGGTAGGGGATAGAGAAGCATTTGTTTTCACTGGTGATTTTCATACTGAACTCTGCAAGATTGGGTGTATAAACTGGGGGTTGACATATGAGAACCCTTCAAAATCAGACTGGTCTATATTAGCAATGACCAACTGATCTGGTGGTGTTAAGACGGGCTGCCCTCGTGTGAAGAACTTGTCAAAGTTTTCAGCTCCTTTGCCACACTGTGGAGGAAAAAAAAAAAGAGGAAAGTTCAGTATATATTGTGCAACACAGGGAGCAGCTCTCTGACAGAACTCTGTGGGGAAGGGTGTGGATTGCGGAAATTGGGGCTGAATAGTCAGGTAGATCTTGGAGGGCTTGCAGGCCTACTGGAATCAGAAGCAAGGCACAGCAAACAATAGCTATTTGATTGTAAAACTTTGCATACACTCAGAATGAAAACCCTAGGTGGAAATGTACTGTTGGCAGTAAGGTAGCAACAAGGAGATAGCCTTTTTTTTTTCACTTCCAGTTCACTAAGCAAGCCAAGCTACAAGCATGAAAGTTTCACACGCAGAGCTATCAGTCATGGCACCATGTTGAAAAGGCCAGGATGTTGGCTGGGGCTGTAGGCAGTTACTCTTGAACTGAGTGGGTATGGATACTGCCCCATATCTGGTCCTTTGTAAAAGTATCTGTTATAAAGCAAAAGCTGTTTATATTTGCCTTCCACATGGGACACCAGACCCTAAACTCTCCTTATCCAGTAGGGGCTAGGTGTGGTGGCAAAGGTGGGAGATGTGCTCCTGGGTCCAGCCGGAATTCTGCTAAAGCTGGTCAACTGGCAGACAGGGGAACGTGGTGTTCATGTGTAGGGTGGTCTCAGGCTGAAGGAGATGTACACAGGAGCTCTGAGAGGCTGGAAAGGCAGAGCAAAGCCTGCTTTCTGTCTTGAATATTACTCTCTTCCAGGATCCACCAGCATTCTGTGCAAATCAGGGTTTCAAGCCAATCTGCCCTTTGGTGATCTCGGAGAAACAGCACACAGCTGCATAAGTAGCACAACTGGGAGTCTGACTCAAGTTAAGGGAAGGGGGTGCCATCTTCACTTTTCCTGCTACCCAGAAGCATTGTAGTATGTCAAATTCTCCAGGATCCAAGGGTGATTCTAAAATAAGGAGAGCTGGGGATTTCACTGATGTAACTAATAATGATTTTTTTTCAACATGTTGCAAATTACTGCTCTTTTACCTGCTGATAGTTCTATAAAGGGAATGTGAGTTAATTCTGAGTAAAAAACTTTTAGCCCAATCAGGCTTTCTTGTATCTTTAATGGAGGATAGCTCTTGGTAGACTATGAGGTGGGGTCTATCTTATTTACTCATCTGTAAGGTGGGGAGAATAACTGTACCTCTCTCTCTGGGTTGTTATGAAGGTTAAATGTGCAGTTTCACATAGAACTCAGCATGTTGTCAGACTACAATAAATATTGTTATTTTTATATAAGACAAGTTTAGTCTCATGGGCAGCACTTTCTCATTATCTCTTTTACTTCCTTTTCCTTTTTTTTTTTTTGTAAAGACAGGGTCTCACTATGTAGTAGTTTAGGTTGGCCTTGAATTCATTATGTGGCCCCAGGTTGGCCCCAAACTCATGGTGATCCTCTTGCTACAGCCTCCCAAGTGCTGGGATTATAGATGTGTGCCACCATACCCAGCTTACCTCCTTTATTTTCTAAGATATTCTAGTTTACAGCTCTCCCATCCTTTGGAAAATAAAACTCACTCCTAAGTACCTGTTGAGGTATAAAGCATATCCTAAATTCAAAGTAAGAACTTCATAAATACCAGCTTTCTTTAAGAGGGTCATTTTTATTTTAATAAGCAACCATCCACCAAAACCAAAGGAGACTTTGTACCACAGTGACCAAGGGATATGTGTGGGGCATAGATAGTGGGACAGGGTTGTGTGTGCTGACGTTGTCTGAGGGCTTATTGAGTCAATCATCAGAGGTCACCTGGACTATGAGACCTACTCATCACAAACCTGCCTCCCACAGATGGGATAGCAAAAGATTCACTCTGAATTTCCATGATGCTTTTCTTCAGAAGAGTACAGAGCACTTCAAAGCAAAGATCGGCATAGGCAGAGTCCACAATTCCATACATGCATATCCCATTTTGAACCACCGAAAAAGGCTCTTTAAGAAGTACATAAAGAAATGCTGTCCCACCCCCTACCCTGCCCCAGGAATTAATCAGGAGTCTACTTGATTCATTAGTCAGACATACAACAAACAGAAACTGGCTTCCACTGGGGCACCATGTTCAGCTAGTTTTGTCATGATGGGAAAAGCTAAAGAAATATCTCTCCTTTTGAAATAGCAATGATTCTTAACCAGGGACGATTCCCCCAACCCCCGAAGGGACTCACTTTTGATTGTCATGACTTGGGCAATGGGTGCCACTGGCATCTAGCAGATAGAGACCAGAATGCTGCTAAACATTGGCAGACAGGACAGCTGCTCCCCAGCAAAGATTTCTTGGCTCAAAATGTCACCAGTGCTATTGTAGAGAAAAACCTGGGACATATTTATGCGGACCGTAATGTGAGGCTACACAGGTCCCAAGGTCAGTATGAAGGCAAATGGAGGAGCCTAACAGGGAAATTGTGCAGGAACAGTTATATGTGAGAACAGAAAATAGAGAAGTTGCAGAAGCCCAAGGCAAAAGCAATGTAAGCAAGTGTTAGGGCCTCAGGGGAGTTGGCTTTGAGAATAATATCCTTTTGGAAAATGATGAAACAATACCTATTGCCTGGTAAATTCAAGTGAATATACTACTGGTGCTCCCAGAGGCTGTGATGCGCGCTTCCTTAATAAGACATTATTTGTGCTTCTCTTGATACTCACTAACCATGCAAAGATGAACAAGAAGGAATTTCTAGGAAAAAAGCAATAAAAGAATATGAATCCTTAAACGGAAGGACAAGGCTAGCCATAATAAGATGTTCTCTCTGCCTGGCTAAACATATGTCTGTCTCGCTTTAGGTTTACTAATTTGTTCTATAAAGTACTACACAGGTCTGACCCTTTCCTTTGAGTACCATCTTTATGGTACTGTATTCACAAATCACCTTCCAACAGGAAGTTTTCAAAAGCCATGGCTTTACTGCCAAAGAAAAAGAAAAAGCAACCTAAGAGGAAAGTTCTGAAAATCAAAAAAGGGTACTACACAAACATAAATACTGAGAAGGAGAAGGATGTATGCTTGAGGATATCAAATTCTACAGTTTGTGTCCCAAGAAAGGTTATTCCTAAGGGCTTTCAATGCTTGTGAAGTCAAATATTGTAGTAAGTGAAGCAAAAGCCCTTTGTGGCTAAAGTCCAATGCCATGACCATGCTGATGACTGCAGAGCTAAGAGGAAATCATGGGTTCCAGATCAATGGGATCCCTGCTCTGTGATCACACTGGGTGGCAATGAAACTGTTAGTCTCAAAATTGCTCACCACTGGGAATGTCTTCCTCTTTGCTCTCATTGAAAATCTCTTTGGAATTTTACCCAACTGGGGGAGGTGGGAGATCACATTTTAGCAAACGAAAGTTTTTCTTGAACTGGTTGACTTAGGTGATGAGACAGGAGCAAGGGCAGGGCGTAGGCAAAGAGTGAAAAGTGAACCACTCGAGTTCAGTGGGACAAAGAAGGGCTAAGAGTATACATCTTAGCAGATTATAAGGAATAAAGCCCTGTTAGAGCTGAAGGCTGAGTCTGAAGAACGGATTAAGATTCCAGACTCAGAATGACATTTTATTTTGAGGGAGATTATACCAGAAGAAAGTCTCTTTCCGCCTACAAAGGGACTGGGAGAAATACTATTTTTACCATATGTCTAGTACTGTGAAAAATACTGCCTATTTTACTGGTACTATCTTTCAATGCTTTGAAAATGAACTCTCCATACCTCTAAGCAAAATTAGGCCCAGGAAGAGATAATTTCCTTTAAGTAAAATTAGAGAGGATCGAGGACTACTTGTTTTTCAAGATGTTATGCAGAAAATTGCCATGGACCAGCACCTCTAAGGATCACAGAAGTCAGGGGTCTCTGGATCCTTGGGAAATACAAACAATATATCTGACAGGTTATTGCATTTTCAATGCAGAAGACAGCCTGTGTACTACTTATGATTTAACCTTACTCCTAACAATCAGCTTAATGGGCAGTGGGCCTCGGGTACCATCTTATAGCTGAGTAGAGAATAAGAAGAGGCAGAGATGTCAAGGCAGCACCTAGTGGATTTGTGAATGAGCAAGTAAATGAGTGACAAATGAAGCCACATTGGTTGCAGATGTCTTCCTGACACCTCAGGCACGAAGCAGGAAGGTTATTACCACAGCCATTTGAAGGGTAGCTTCCATGGCAATCTGTGACGCTGTGGCAATCTGGGTTGTTCATGGCCTCCAAACTCACAGAGTATCTAAGGCAACCTGTGAGCAAAACCCTTGGGCAGGTTGTGCCTGGTCGTCACCTCCAAAGGCCACATGTTTTACCAACTGAGGCTTTTGCCAGCTAGGAAGTGATATGTCCCACTGGCATGGGACAAAAATTGGAAGGGAAGAGGGCAGCAGGAGACAGTCCACTCTTGACTGGGCCATTGTGTTAGCCCAGAGAAGGTCCTCTGGTACTCCCCGAGACTGGATGGTGTCTTGTATTCACTGTGCAGGGCTGACACCTGATGAGAACAGGCAGCACAGGAGAATGAAGAGCAAAAGGCCAAGCGTACAGCTGTAAGAAATTCACTGTGTCTCTCTGTAAAGTAAAATGAGGGCAATCCACCTTCTAAGGCTGTTGTGAGGCTGGAGGGATGAAGGTGTGAGACTGTTCTCAATGATGAGGCTGACAGAGACATAAGGTACAACGTGTGTAGCAGTGTGCAAAAGTGAGGTGATCAGTATTTCAGAGATGAACGCTACTGACGTTCCACATCCTCATCTCTAGACTGCAGAATTAACTCTGTTTTCATTCTGACATTCCTCAGCCATTTGGCAAATTCAAGTAATAAAATGAACCCAGGAGAAATTAGGCATGTTTGTAAAGATGCTGCAAAGCATGCAATGATGTGAACTCTAGGGGGAAGCTGGGATCGTGATGCTCCCCACCCACAGCCTGTGTGGCAAGCAGCTCATTTCCAAGCCCTTGTGTCCTATGAGGGTGCAGGGAGAGACTGAGCTGCACTGCTTCCT